CGTCACGGACTTCGACTGACGGATTTCCTCGCCACTTGTTGTGTCGGGGCTGTTCCATGTGAAAATCAATAGGGAATCCGCGGAAACGGGACGATCTTCTTGCACATATCGACGAGTGGCTCTCCTCTCGGCCAATTATCTCTCCCTTTCTCTCCTTCCCACGAATCGAAAGAGAAGACTGGTGTGTTGTACGATGAGATGGCACGTGCGTGCACTAGGGAAAACAGCAAGCGGTGTGTATACGCCCCCTCGTGTGTACAAGGGAGAGAGAGAGAGAGAGAGAGAGAAACAGAGGAGGAGAAGGTTTATCTCGGAGCGCGCGCGATAAAGCAACTATCGTAGGTCTACATAGTTGCTCGTACGGCTCCATGTCTCTCTTGCCTTCTATGCTAAAAAGTCCCTAGGAAACTCGTTTACAGCAGGAAAATTAGTAGTGCTAAAGAGACGTTTCCTTGCTTCGCCTACTTGATAGTGGATTAAGACTCACTAAGCTTAAAATTAATAATGTACTTACGTGTTATTTCTCATTAAAGTCTCTCGCCGTACTAATGTAAACTATTGCGAACTATAATTTGGAGAAAGTGAAACGTCGAAAGAAAATTGAAAAAGTTAAAGGGTTACTTTGAAGAATGAAAGTCTGATTGAATTTTATAATATTTTAACCCATATTTCGCGTAGTTTCCCAATTCTCGAGAAAGCGTATTTCGATATAACTCGCTGCTGCTTGCCATGAGATAACGCTAAATCGATTTACGATTGCTACGATGTTGGATGACGAAAAGTTGAGTGGCAACCAGGTTTCTTCGTTTGTAGAAAATAAACAGGCCGTATTAAAGGAACGGGCAACGTTCCTGTTTCTCTTCGTGCAGTAACTCGCGACCGCGGAACCGTTATGCCAAAGTATCGTTGCACGTATATGCAAGAGGATCTTCGTATCTGTACAACGAGAGGGGGAGAAAGAAGAAGGCAGTACATCGCGATAGAAAAAACAACGTACAAGCGAAAGACGATACGCGAGAAGCCGATAAAAAAGGCGTCGAACCTGTCACGCTCAGAGAACGCCCGCAAATTTTTCGTTGTTTTTGCCAGAATTAGATTATTCGATTTCTAGACCGAACGGCCTTATCGTGGAAAAAGATTTTCATCGAAAATCACAGCGATATCTCGACTCGTGCCGCATACTTGAGCAGTTTGCTTTTAGGTAGCTTTCTTTTATCGAAAAATGTAATTCCCGCGAACTTGCCCGAATTATTCGTAGTTGTTCCACAGTTAATTGCAGTCTTGGAAGTTTCATGGCTTCTCGTCTGCCAAAGTTTCGACTTCGAACGATTGTCGTTGGCCCGGAGCTATTCAGAAGTATCCCCGGAGTTATTTTCAATTGTTGCCCCGCGAAGTTTCCAGAAGGCTTCGCTCCGCGCTTTTCTATTTTTTTTTTACCTTTTCTTTCCTCACTCGAAATTCAGAATCCGCAACCTTTGTCTGTCATTTAAGGTTAATTAAACCCTGGTTCCTCCGCCCACGTTGATCCATTGTACGAGCTTCTCGAAGATTTTTCTTTTTTTTCTTGTTTCCGGATTAGTCTGAGGTTTTTCTCTCCTCAGGGTGGAATTGAATTGAAGTTACTCTTTGAATTTTATTTGGCGGTACCAATTTTTTACTTATACTTCTTTCTCTAGTTCTCCCCTTTTCCCCAGAGAGTGCTTATTTTATGTACGTTTTTCAAAATTTCTAATTTATCTATATTTACAACGCTGTCATCGGTAGTGTCGAATTTCTCGACACGCACAGTAGCTGAACAATCAAACAGCACGCACGGTCCTTCTGTTTTCACGATTTCGCACAGGCCACAGGCGCGAAAGCTTCGATTACCTGAATTACATATAACAGTATTCTGGCCTCGTGGCAACGAACGCCGCCGTCTGCGGAATAATCGAAGGAAAGGACGAGGAAGAATGGCGAAGAGAACGGAGGAGGAGGAAGAATCTCTTTCTCTGTGGGTGAATCGACGAGTGGCACTCGCGGGGAACTGTGCTCAAAGTTGGAGAAACGATTGCGAGATTAATTTTCCGATTAATTTGTAGGGCTCGCATATACAGCAATCTGTGAACGAGGAGGAGAGATAACCGTTGGATTTTCATGCGAAAAGAAGCGCTGCCCGATACGTACTTGGATTCGGTGTATTAGTCCCGTATCGGCTTAACGAGAACTTGGAGAATTAATGTGCCGTTGATTTTAACGCGTTCCAGGAAGGAATTGAAAAAGAGGAGCGACTTTGTACTCCGTTTCAATCCATTCTTTATTGATTCAAAGAGACCGAGTGGTTTTAGCGGAGGAACTATAATTAAAATCGAGCTTCTCATTTTTCTACTCCTGTTCACTTCATCCTTTTAATTTCGAGTTTTCAGTTTTAATTACTTCCTTCAGAGGGGTATGGAGGAAGGTGGAGGGGGCGGGGGGGAATTATCCTCTGTTCTTTCCCAGTATTTCATGAATAGAAATTTACTAAAATTCTCTCTTACCCCGGTATGGCGGACGAATATTCGAAACATCGAACGTACCGTTCTCGTTCTAAATTCCGAACGTCCCGGCCGACCAAAACGCCGCGATTTTCCACTTTACATCGAATCTCATCAATCACGAAACGTTGAACGAGATCTATCTGCTTGTACACCGTACGCTTCGTGTCGTCGAAGGCTCAATCGTTAACATTCGATCTGACAATAGGCACAGATTAACGTTTCGACACTTGATCAATCAAGCATTCGATCCAGTTTTAATTAAATGCACGCGGTCTGGGTAATTAACGAACGACTGTCACGTTTCTCATGCTCCTCGTATCTGTCGAACAGGATCGAATCGCGAACGTCTAATTTGCCGAAGAGGAGGGGGGTTAACCTGATTTCCCAATTTGATCCGGATTTCCAAAAGGTCACTGTGCAGTCAGTCCGTGGACCCCGTTCCTGCTTGTCGAGAGTTTTCACAACGAAAGGCGAAAGGTACTCTAATCCGATCCGTAAACACAATAGAAAGTATCTTGGGGAATCTAGGCTACCGAACGAGCGTCGTTGGTCGCTCCTCTCCGCGTTTCAGCTGGTACACTATGAGACCTGAATACCGAGCTGCCCTCCGGCCTCGGCAAAAAAATCTTTGACATCCGGTTACCCCACCAGAGAACGATCTTTTGACGCGCCATCGACATTTCTTCGTAAGGAGTGCCGATAGGTGATGGCGGCGGAGGAATTCGAGGGATGAAAATTAGAAAGGGGTGAAAAGACCTGGAGAGGGGTCTCGTATAGGTGACAATAGCGGGTGGACGAGCGGGGAGGAGGGGGGGGGA